CATTCTGAAGAATACAGGGTATCTGTGATAGGAAACTTTAACATAGGACGGAATATTGAAGTACTGAAACTACCAAATAATACAAAAGTTTGCAACTATTTATTGTTAAATCTAAAATAACAGCATGTTCCTTACTTCCTCGTTTCCTTAGTTTCTCGAGTCCAATATCTCAACTTCTCATTTCAATTTATAAACAGTTAAAATGCTAAAATATTTTAATTTTCTGATGGGTATTCCAAGAGAATTATGGTTGGATTTTTGTTGGGTTTTGTATGCTTGCTGTATAAGAAAGTGTATGAATAATTTAGGGACTAAATATTGCCTATATGTGTAGGAGAGAAGCAAAAGGAAGATTAAACCCTAGTAGGTAAGTGGATACGAAGTATGCTTGAGGATGTCCTCCTCCTCAAAAGCAGATCATGCATCTTCAAATAGTTTTAAAATAAAATAATTTCTGACAAGAACTACAGTTTCCCACACCACAGGAAATGAAATGTGGAGAGGGAAGAGACATTATAGGTATTGTAAAACCTGAGCAAGGGAGACATCTTTTCTTTGGCAACAGTGAGGAACAAGAATCACAGAATCATAGAATGGTTTGGGTTGGAAGGGACCTTTAAGATCATCCAGTTCCAACTCCTCTGCCATGGGCAGGGACACCATCCACTAGACCAGGTTGCTCACAGCTCCATCCAACCTGGCCTGAACATTTGCAGCTTCTCTAGGTAACCTGTTCCAGTGCTTCACCACCCTCACAATAAAGAATTTCATCTTAATATCTAATCTAAACCTACTCTCAGTTTGAAGCCATTTCCCTGTCACTACATGCTCTTGTAAAAAGTCCCTCTTATGTCTTATTTCTGGGCTCCCTTCAGGTACTGGAAGGCTGCAATTAGGTCACTCCAAAGCCTTCTCTTTTCCAGATTGAATAAACCAAATTCTCCCAGCCTTTCCTCACAGGAGAGGTGTTCCAGCCCTCTAATCATCTTTGTGGCCCTTCTCTGGACTTGCTCCAATAGGTCAATGTCCTTCCTGTGTTGAGGACCCTGGAGCTGGATGCAGTACTCCAGGTGGGGTCTCACCAGAGGGGAGCAGAGGGGTAGAATCACCTCCCCTGACCTGCCGCCCTGACTGCTTTGGGTGCTGCCCAGGATTCAATTGGCCTTCTGGGCTGCAAGTGCTTACTGCCAGGTCATGTCCAGCCTCTCCTCCACCATCACTCCCAAGTCCTTCTTGACAGGGCTGCTCTCTATCCCTTCATCCCCCAGTCTGGATGGATATCAGAGGTTGCCCTTATCCAAGTGCAGCACCCTGTGCTTGGTTTTATTAAACCCCATGAGATTTCCATGGGCCCACTTTTCAAGCTTGTCCAGGTCCCTCTCAGTGGCATCTTGTCCTTCAGGTGTGTCAACAGCACTACTCAGCTTCACATCATCTGTAAATTTGCTGAGGATGCATGCAATCCTTTCATCTCTGTCATTAATGAAGACATTAAATAACACTGATCTGAATATGGAACCCTGAGGGACACTGCTTGTCACTGATGTCCACTGGTACTCTGAGCCATTGATCACTACCCTCTGGATGTGACTGTTCAACCACATTCTTATCCATCTGGCAGTTCACTCATGAAATTCGTCTCTCTTCAGTTTGGAGAGAAGGATGTTGGGGGGCATCCATGTCAAAGGCTTTACAGAAATCCAGATAAATGCCATCTGTAGTCCTTCTCTTGACCACTGACATAGTCACTCCATCATAGAATTCAAATTCCACTTTCACTTGTAATTCTATGCCCTTTCAAGGCTACTAAAACCCCTCAGACCATAAGAGCACAGCACTAACTACAGCAAGCAAAAAATTCCCTCCCCCTAACTTGTTTTGGTCTGTGAAGGCCTTGGATTGCAGCCATGCTAACCGTCTGAGCTGTATTGAAACCAGGACAGGGAATCTGCTCATGAAATATATGAAAGCAAATTTGCTGTGTAACTGAGTGTTGGCAGGCTTGAGCTGCATTGCCTTTGCTGTTAAGACTCATTTATCTTTATGTGTTATCTGCTAGAACTGCACCCAAGTACACTTTGCTAATTTTCTCTGCTGGGAAAAATAACACAGTTCTTGGAATCCAAACACAGAATTGTTTTCACTCATTTATTTGTCTCCAACTTGTAATTTACCCATCTAATTACAGCAATAATTAAGCTGGAGAATTTAATATAAGTGTTTCCACAGGTACCCACTGAAATTGTACCAGAGGTTATGCAGGGAACTAATATCTTTAATAATGAACTTTCTGTGTTATATAGCCAAATCCTATGCCCAAAAGGAAACATATATTGGAAATTCTCTCCCATACTTTTATGGAAGCTGTCTGCTTTCCCAGACAACTTCCATGCTGTGCAGGTTCTACAACACAATCTGTGTCTTATCTTTGCACTGAATTCACTGTGTATTTGAAAAAAAAAAAAAAAAGCGTATATGGGATTTATCTTTCCAGAATTGGCTTGAATTTCATTATCAGAAATCTGGTAACTTTACAATTATTCAGAAAGTCTGAAGATTCTGTATTATCTGTACAGATTTATATTTTACTTAATGATAGCTCTGGTTAAGCAGAACTATTGATATCAGTAGCAGTAAGTGTAATTTTGACTTTGATTTTTGCTAAGACTAAAATAATACAGGACAATGGAGTGTTTATAGCATAACAGCAACACATCATTAGAAGAAACATTGACATTAAGGAGAAAAAAAGAAACTACAGGAGAGCATTTCAACTGAATACAAAGGAAAGAAAAACAGAAATGAAAGGCAATTTTTTTCTCCTTTTTACCCTGCTGGCTAAAATGTATCACCTTGAACCTCCTCCCTCAGAAATCCAACCAAACTTCTCATGATATATACCGTGCCATATTTAAGGGAATCCGACTGAGCAAAAATATAGTAGCCTACATTAAAAAAAAAAAAAAATTAAACATACTATTATGAGAAGACAGAGGTGAAGGACTTGTGTATACTAGAACAGTTAAGAAAGAAGCTTGCTATATATTCTCACACTGAATATGTCAGGCTTGTTATTCTTTTACTATACACATTCCCTGGGTGGTGAATAGCAGAAAATCAGCATCTAATACAATTCATCTTCCTAGCCTCAAATCTCAGTATGTTTTTTCATGCTCCTCATTTCTTTTTTCCAAAGGAATTCAAGGTTAGAAAATGCAACCGCTATGGATACAGTTTTACTTCAAAAGAGTAAGGCAAAAAGTAGAATTTTCAAAGTGCAGAAAACAAAGGAATGTTGGATTTTATAGGTTGTCCTCGCTGATGAGCTTTCCCTAGGACTGAACTGAGCAGCACATTCAGTGAGATAACAGCGCTCTCTAGTGCCTTCAGTAAGCACATGGCACAAACTTTATTTTCTTTAATAAGGAAACGTACCTAAATACCACAATCGGTTTGAAAAATATGTAGAATAAAATAACTGTGTCAAGTATCAGTTCATAACAGGATTATTTTTCCTTCTCACGTATAATTTATCTACTAGGAAAAAACCCAAACACATGAAATACATGCACATATGCATAAGTAGTACTTGCCATCAAAAAAAAAGTGGAACAGTAAGGTACGTACTTTGTCTACAGCATCAAAAATACTGCTGAAATATACCACTGTCTCGAAAACATTGATGATATTTATCAGAATGCAAAAATGAGAAATAACACAGCACAAATTTCAAGTACAATTTTAGGAATGCAGTGAGAGCCATCCAAAAAGCTTTATCAGAAGTGTTAGGTTTATAAATTAGAGAATCACCTATTGAAGATTATGACATATCAAGATACTGTTTTCATAGTCTTTCTTACAATCTTTATAGCACTTTCAACTGAGGCAAACATGTAAAATATCACAAAATCCAGAATAATTACCAAGGTCAGCTCATTATCTGTGACTCAGAGGTAGATAAAAGAAAATCCAGCAAGGAATAAGCTCTTGATGGAATATTAATATCTTCTTTGAACATGCTGGCTTTTGAAATACTGCACTTCTTTGACTGCTATGAAATTTTGGTTTTCCTGACAAGAACTTTTTTAAAGAATATTAAAATGCACAATACTTTTCCACATGAGCAAAACATATATTCTTAAGTCTGATTAGGTAGTCAGTATTTTAAAAATATACTTATACATCTTTTCAAAAAGATATTTTTCCTCTGATGCAAATTAGTTTTTCAGAAACCCATCTTTAGAACTGATTGCTATCACTTTAAAATATACATATATATCAGTTTGGTTTATCAAAATGGATCTTAAGAATCTAGCTGGGTCTGTAAAGTACATTTAGGCCTATAAAACAAAGTTTATCCCACCTGCAATTGAAATTCCAATACATTAAATTTTTAGGTGAATATGGTTCAATACATCTTGCAATCTGTATTTATAACTGATTTGGAGGACTGCCACATAAGATATTAGAAGACAGTTCATGATATTGAAATTGCATTGCATCTCTTTTCCCAGCAAAAGGTAGTTTTTATATGAAATATTGAACAGTGAGGGACAGGTCAAAGTTTTACCCAATTCTCTAACATAGAGATCAGCAGTTCTGAGAGGCCTCTGTAGTCAGACTGTAAAGCTTGGGCTGTGGTTTTCACATGCCACTTGTGTTCATATAAAAATCAAGTTTTTTACATAGATGTTGTAGGCCTCCTTTAGTTCCCCAATTAACTTTTGGTTCATATGGGCCCTGTTGTGTTTTTGTAATTTCCTATTTTTTTTTCCCCCACAGCATTTTCACACGTTTTAAGTTGCACCTACCTGTGCAACTACTAAACCTGCACTTTTAGGTTAAAATGATGTTATCTCTTGTGATCGTGTTCATTATTATGAAGTAAAAGGCGTCATACAGTATTATAAAATTCTATTGTACTTTACATACATGATTTATTCTGTTTATCATTCTGTAATGACTCTCACTGTAGATTATACAAGAATCATTGTACTTACTTTTGAGATCTAAATTTCTGGCTCCTGCTGTGCTCTGTGTTGTGATTTTAGTGTCAATCTTTACAGTGTGGAGATTGTTGGTATCCCTTGATATCATCACATTATGCCACTGGTTGTCATTCAGAGGTTTATTAGAACTTCCTTTGATGAGATTTGCACCATTTCCCAAGTCAAATACATAGTGCAAATACCTGGGAAAAGAGAAAAAATTGGAAAAGTTTCCTTTTTCTTTACATAGCAAGGGGGAACTAATTAACATGACTAATATTTTATAATTGCTTGTACTCCTCAGTAGTGCTGGTAAAACCAGAAGACAACAATGAATGCCAGATGGGGAAGCAACCATCATTCAGAGAAATTGCCACTGGTTTAGATGAGTTGAGGTGCAGTCCCAAGTTTCTGGAAAGTAATGAGCACTCCATGTACCAACACATGCATACATACGTAGAGAGAGAACAAGAGGAAGCTACAAACTAGTACTTCTTTGTGGTAAACACGAGAGAAGTTATACCTATTATTTACTGTCATATATTTCAGGCATCTAGCTTCATCTGAAAGAAAGAGTCAAAATAAATCATATCAAGTTTAACATGAAGAAACATTTATGAATCATATATATCCAGTCAGATAAAGATTTGTATCCTAAACTTTCCGTTGTATTTCTCCTGTATATATGTTTTGAATAGACTGGCTTTGCCATGCTAATCCATACATACCCTTTTACTAATTCAACCACAATGAAATCATTTCCATCGCCACTGTTATAAAGTATCAATCCATCCAGAGAGGTGGTTTTGAACTGGAAAAAAAGGTGCATAGATGTATACGCTTGTAGCGTGGCCAGTGCAACATAACTTGCTTTTGTTTTAAAGGTTACAGGGTCTGCTATGATGTTCCTGAACCCAAATCTTGCATTTAGCTCACAATAATCGATGTCTCCATTTTTACACAAGTCAATGTATGCCATGCCATTAAATGTGAGACTCTGTAGATGCCCAATAAAATTAGAAGGCACAGAAGACAGGTAGCGCCGTTCTGTTATAATTCCTGTTTCTATGTTGTGGAATTCCAGTCGTGTGTGATCACCAGCCATTTGACCTTTAAATAGCAACAAGAAAACACATGTTAGCATCTGAAATGGGAGGTCAAAAAGCACATCATGTGATTAAGTATCTGCATCAATTTCACACTTTTCAGAATGTGCAAGGTCAAATCTTGGCTCCAATCATCCAAATTATTGGTAAATCCAGCAGCCTTTCCACTGAGTTCAGTAAGTCTGGATAATGTCAACAGCAAGATTTCTAAACTGAAACACAATACCACAGTACCTTGACCTGCCAACAAGATCCCTCACTTTGGTTTCCCTTTACCAGAGGTGGGGTTTTACTACAAGCAAATGCAATTAATTAACAGGAAGACCACAAAGGCCAACAAACCTCAGAGCTAAACCAACAATATTAGAGTTTCATGAAAGAGAGATGGAAAAGTTTGAGGGATATTATTCGACTTGGTTTGACTAAAAGTGCATGATTTGGCAAGAGGTAGGAAGGATTCCTGTTTCAGTTGTCTTAGGTACATTAATGCTGGCTCTGCTGCAAAGGGGGACAGTTGCTTGAAAGTAACTAAGCTTTGTACCATCGGGATAAATCATGTGAGAAGGGGCAAGGTCCAAGAGATGGGCAGAGCAGAAAGCCTGCAGCAAGGGTGTGAGCCAGCATCTTGTAATCCTGAAAATAACAAGGGACTTGCTTACATCAGAAAGGTGGCCAAAAGGAAGTATCACAGATGCTTTTGAGCCTCTCTTTGTTGTGCAAGGACCCCTGCAGAGCAAAAAGACTGAAATTTGCTGACCCTATAGCTAATCTGAAGGAAAGGATCAACACTGTCAGGCTACTCTGTATATAGGTCAGGTAAGTTTTTAATCTAGTTATTAAATAATTTTCCCAGCACATCAAAATTTTGTCCACTGAAGAGATCCCTTTTCTAACAGAACTTATATTTTTTCCATGCTGATTTTAAAGAAGTAGGGCAGTATTATCACAAGGCTGATTCATGATCACGTTGTGTGGGTATGGTGACAAAACAGCTTTTTATTACTAATCGATTTCACCATTTAATGTACCTCTTGCAAATCATGGCCTAGATTTCCCAGTTCCTTAGCTGCTTCCAACCTGGACTAAATATTGGCATAAAACTTCAGTTCCCAAAGCTGTTGACAAGTCAAGTTCCCTCTGTCCCTCCATAAACATAATATTCCGAGAGAAGAATGTGAGCTCTGACCCAGGCTGAACACGTTTATCAGTTGTGCAGAAACCCTGGTGGCAGTCTTACACAGCTTCATAGGTGTCACAAAAAATGTCTGTGTACATGTGTGTGAACAGGGAAGAGACACGGTAACAATAAATGCAGATATTTGGGCTTTGCCCGGGGATATGAATTCACAAACAGGTTAAGTCACAGCACTTACAAGTACAGGTAAGTTACACTGAAAACAGCTTTGCAATATTTAACACTATTCAGACCACACATGCACACAAATTGTTTTAATTATTTATGATAAATATTTCCAAGGAGCTTACTTAGCTTCATGATGAGTTCTATATGAGAACTTATTCTATGGATGTCATTGAATAATGTCATTTTTCATCACTATCAGGGATCTGTACTCATATGGCAGTGCACTGTAAGAGGCACCTTAAACCCCAAGGACAGTTGTCTTGATGTTCTTGTTTCTAAACATCAGTTCTGAAGATACTACTTTCCCTGGTGTATTAAGCAAAAGTAGGTTGTTCCTTGCAGTAATGAGTCAGGGAGATGCCTTGAAAAATGCCAAATCGGTAATTTTTGCAAGGACAAGAGCTGTATATTGGATCACTGCCAAAGAGCTGAGGATCATGTTTTAGAGAGGAACATTATGTATTCCAGCCTTATATCACTTCAGATGGCATTTCATTAATGTCATGGCAAAAATCCACTAAGCTTTGGCCCGTAGCAGAGTATCCCCACTACATTAAATGTATTTCTTTCTTGAACACAGTAATAAAAAAGTTCCAGAATCTGGGCTCACATCCCAAATCTCCCTCTAATATTTCAGTTCTACGAACACTCTAGCAGGACTTGAGATTTCACATAATGCTTCATGGGATTTGCAAATACAGCAATGAAGAAAAAGGGAGGGAATGCAGTTTGTACTTACAAGGTTGGACATTTTGGGGTTTTGTGGGGGTTTTTTGTGGGTCTTTGTGGGTTTGGGTTTTGGTTGGTTGGTTTTTGTTTCTTCTTTAAGCTTACCAGGTTCATGCACAAAATGCATTACCTGCTGTAATACTACGGGGCCAATAGAATTTCTGTTCATAATCATAAGTTAGGTATCTATTCTGTCATCCAACTTTGATGACCTCCACCAGTCCACTTTTATTTTCTGTACATTTTCAGAAAACAAAATGTATCAGGGCTGCAAGTATTTAAAGTCTTTTATGATGAGCAAAACCTTTGAAACCACTTGCATGACTTCTGATGAAAGCTAGTTATGATTCTGTGTTATATTATTTATCCAAACACACATTATGTATTTGTCAAAGATAACTAAGCTCAATTCATGGATGAATAATTGATATTTTACAATCTGTAAAAACTGGAAAGTCAGGCTGAATTATTTAATGACTTCCTCTTCAGCTTAAGCTTTCTGGATCTTATATTTTAGTTTTTTTCCATATATGACATAGGAAAGGAATCAAAAAAGAAAAACACAATGTGTGGCAGGGTGAAGCCAGAATTTTCGGTAGGAGGTCAGTTTTCTTCCTTATTATCCTTATGACATCATAATAACCTTTCATATGAGAAATTAATGGGTTATATTTTAACCAAATTTCTAATTTTTGGGACACCCAAAGAAAAATCCTAAGGAGTTTAGAGCAAGAGCACTCCAATCTGACATGGCAACTCTTCTTCCCCTGTGCTTTCAGGAAATCCAGAGCTACTACACATTAAATTCTATGGAATATATTTGAAATTTAAACTTGTAAAGGCTTTGAAAATACTGTTGAAAAAACAACAAAAACCAAACCAACAAACAAACAAACAAAAAATCAAAAAACGCCCCACCCAAACCAAACAAAAAAATCCCAGCGCTTACACGACAATAAAGATTTTCTGTTTAGAAAATGTAATACTCCTGGCACTCTGAGCAGATTCCCCTGTTACCAGACTCTCAAGTTCCCTCTGTTCCTTCTCTTATGCCAGTTCCCTTGTCAGTGGTGGAGGAGGCCACAGACTGGCTACACAATTTCCTGAAGGGAGTTTTAGAAAGCTGAGGAAGGCTTTCCCTCCAAAATACTGGGGTGACTTTCTCCCTTTGGATGAACAACATTAAACATCTGTGGATTACGCAAATGTAGGTGACTTCCAGTTTGATGAACTGAGAGGGATTTGAAGTCAACTGGCTAGTTTCTGATACAGGTACTGGGATGTGGGAAGAATACAAGTGTTGTACAGAAAAATGGGCCCATAGGCAACACTTCTGATTGATCAGGAGGCAACTCAAAATGCTCACTTGCTTTCGCAGATTAGAATAGAATAGAATAGAATAGAATAGAATAGAATAGAATAGAATAGAATAGAATAGAATAGAATAGAATAGAATCAGTTGGAAGAGACCTATGGTCACCTAGTCCAGCTACCTGATTGCTTCACAGCTGACCAGAAGTTAAAGCATGTTATCAAGAGCATTATTGAAATGCCTCTTAAACACTGACAGGCTTAGGGCACCAACTACCTCTCTAGGAATCCTGTTTCAGTGTTTCATCTTCCTAGTACCATGATATTTGATAGTACCTACAGTTATACACAATGAAGAGGGATTACAGGAACTTAAAGTACTGCATTCTATACTTATTACTTTACCTGACTAGACTATGTATATGACTGAAACCTCCTTAATCCTTCATATATATTTTGAACTGAACAGTTGGGACTGAACCCAAATGTGAAAATAGTGCTTCTTGGTGGTTTTCTAACTTGTAGTATTCATAAGTTAGAAATCTGCCATGAGAAATCCAGAAATTGTGCATTTGAGTCTTGACACTAGATTTTGATCTAAACATCTTCCTCTATATTAGAATACACCTTATTATTTGAGTGGCAGTTAAAGCAATAAGTTTATAATATTTTTCAGTATACTTCCTCCAATACTATAAACTTAATTTCAAAAAGAAAATAAATTATTTAGGCCATCTACTGTCTTGGGAGAATGATCCAAAGCATCATCATGTACCTCCACCTCTGGATGACCTACTGGTAATTTTTGATTCTAGAATATATGTTCTTGCAACTATTGAATGCATAGAAATTATTTTTCTACTAGTGATATGGTTTTCAGTGTTCTGCTGTGGTAAAAAGTGATTATTAAAGCAGGTGCACTCCTTTTAAAAATCCGCTTAAATTGTTACCATTTTAACAAGGCTTAGAACAAATGATAAAAGCTATTTAATACTACCCAAAACCAAAGGAAAATATTACACAGCTAACACAAAAACACAACATTGTATTATGCAAGGAATGAGGGCCAGAAGCCAGGTCTGTTGCTATTAATAACACATATGTAAGCATTAACTTTTTTACAGAACAAAATCAATGTGTTTTCTATTACTCTTTTTGATAACACATTCCTAGAAATATATTTCTAACTACATGCTGGCACGCACATAATTTTTTTCTCCCATCCAAACTGCTATTTTTAGTATTTGTTGCCTAATATTTCATTACTGAGGACAGCTGATGCAAGTTTTAAAACACAATAGAATATCCTTCAAACACTTATTAAATTCTTTCTTACAGCAGTGGCTTACAGTTTAGCTCTCACAATGTGTTGACAAAAGCATTTTACTTGCCTTCTCATTAGTGATGTATCAAATCACTTCTCTCCAATTATTGTATAAAAACATTCTTTTAAGTCAGCACGAAGGTTTTCATTAACTTCAATAGCAACCTTAGAGCAACATTAATATCAAGTGTAATAACACACTTGTTGTAACAGCATTTCAAGATGCATAACATGGCTTTTGAATCCTACCCAAGGAAAGAAAAAAGCCTCTGTTGCTTTCAGATAAAGTCATTTTACTTCTGTTTGGTTTTTTTTGTTTGTTTGTTTGTTTTGTATTTCCCCCCAGTAACAAGGAGTCACAATGACACACTACCTGTCACGGCCTGCTGGTCATCCACCATTAACTTTAAGCTTTTTCCTCGCCGAACCACACGCACTGTGTGCCACTCATTATCATTGAGGTTATAGCCAGCAAAAAGGGTTTCTGGACCTTTGCCTGTAGGATATGCCAAACAGTCATTATGCAATCTTTAAATCAGTTTCAATGTGAACCTCACAGAGAGAGAGACAGAGAGACGCGCTGGGCAAATGTTAAAACTCACCAAAAGTCACACCAAGCAAGAAAATTATCAAGTATAGGCAAAACTCTAAATATAGAACTACTACATTAAAACACTTTTAAGGTATATTAAACTATGTAAATGCACTTTATATGCACCAGGTTTTCATAAATAGGCACAGTCAACATAGATTTAATGATGCACTTTCCAAACACATACAGGTCTTTAAGAAATTATATTACTGAGCCAAAAGAACTTCAGCATGCATTATGCATTTACAAGAGTGAATTTTTGTTCTTTCTTTAAATATTATTTGGTGCAAAATAACAAGTGGTAAATGTGTGTGCATGTATGTTATATTTTTCTTAATTTATGTTAATTTCTCTCTTCATTTAGGCTCTGTTTGTTTATTAGGACTTTTCAGATCATCATCCATTACCTGATCATCTAGATGACTTGCTGATATTCAGATCCAGTGCCTTCTTATGTTAGCAGATTTTTCAACCATACTTTCCTTTTTCATTTAATGGATACCTTTTTTGTAACGTGCGATTTTTTTCAGCAGTACGGAAAACATTTTTGAAGCATATTCTATGTATAGCACAATGTGTTTGCAATAACCAAAGTATTCACAAAGCTAGGATATCTTTAATGCCTAGGAAAAAATTTCTCACGAGAAAAGGATAGTGGAAATTGTCTCTCACACTGTTGACCAAGAAGAGAAAGAGAGAAAAAAAAATCCTGACTTTGAACTGTCATTGATATGAATAGGTGATTGACTAAGCACTGAATAAATCAATCAAACCTTATGTGCTGACTGTAAAAACTGTAAAGCTGATCTGCAATTAACAAATTACATTCTTGTGAAACAGAGACGGCCCTGGTCTGTTTTCCAGTTCCTGTGGCAGAATAAATGCTGCAGATAACTAAAATTTGCCAGTTAAGTTCTGATCTTCTCAATACAAGAGAGATGTGGAGCTCCTGGAGTGTGTCCAGCAGAGGGCAACAAGAACCATTAGTGGACTGGAGCATCTCTCTTATGAGGAAAGACTGAGGGAGCTGGGCCTGTTCAGCCTCCCAGAGAGATGACTGAGAGGGGATCTCATTAATACATGGAAGTATTTGAAGGATGGGTGCCAAGAGGCTGGAGCCACAGTCTTCTCAGCAGTGCAAAGAAATAGGACAAGAGGCAGTGGGCACAAACTAATGCACAGGAAGTTTCAGCTGAATATGAGGAAGAACTTCTTCATTGTGTGGGTGACCACCCAGTGGAATAGATTGCCCAGGGAAGTTATAGAGTCTCCCTCACTGGAGATATTCAAGGACCATATGGACACAATCCTGTGCAATGTGGTCTACAATAATACAGCTAGAGCAGGACAGTTTGACCAAATGACCCCACTGTGATCCCTTCCAAGTTTACCCATTCTGTAATTCTGTAAAAGAGGCACATAATAAAATAACTTTTGACACAAAAACATTAGGGTTACCCTGAATTAGACTGTTATCTCCAATGTGTCCCTTCCAGGTGACTATATCCCATGTGCTGGTCTTCTTTTGAAAGGGATATGTCAAAAGCTCTGAAACTACTCACATTTCTACTCTTTTCCAGCCAGCACAGGTTAACTGTGATGGGTGAGGCCTGTTAATAAATGGGTACTATACAACATTGTCTAAAATTTAAACCTCTCTGAATTCAGGACTGCACAGAGGGAAAAGGACACAAAGAGCTTGATGTAGCTGTTCAGCACACTGGACAGTTTTCGTCTCAGATGTTTTCCATTTTATATCAGCATGTTTTTAACTCCTGGTTTGTTGCCCTGTTTCTATATGTAGAACTTTATGTAACTTTTGCTATTTTGAGCATGCCAAGGGATCTCCAGGAACAAAAACATTAGCTACAGCAAAGGCAGTGAGATTCTGATACTGTTTCTCTCTGTCTCTGGATTGACACTAAGCTAGGAAAGGTGTTTGAATCCAGCAGAAAGAGATGATTGGTGTCAACTACCTGAATAATTCTGTTCTTTGAGTGTTTACTTTTTTCGACAAGAGAAAGACCAGTTTTTGCATAAAGCTTAAGTGAATAATGTTCTCTTTGAGGGTGGTGATATAGATCTCTTAAGCAATTTCTATTATTCTATTCGGCACTTCAATGGAAGAAATTGCTAACTAGCAATGGATGGATTTACAAAAAATATTAAATGACATAAGCAAAAAACTTGGTGAGAGTCAATAGGCTTGCCTAGAAATAAATAATTTAGTATTACTGTAAATATATTTGCACTTATTTGCTTGTTAGTCCAACTCCTTTTTTTTTTTTTTTAATTTTTAAAGTAATTGAACTACTCAGTCTACATTATTTCACTTCAGATTTTTAAAAGACCTAAAAGCATATGCAATTTTAATTTACTCTCACATTAAGAACCCTCTGTAGGGTCCCGTTCGTGTAAAGGTGCCTTGGTGTATATAAATATCAAATCCAATTTGGCTGTTCACATTTATAGAGGCAAATATATCTATTAACTTTTAATGGCTGGGGGCTTGCAAAGTCTTCCTGTTGTAAAATTAAATGTATGTTTTCCCAGGCATCAGTCTATTTTCCTTGTAAGTGTACTCTAAGTAAAAAAAATCAGGTCAGAACTACTTGTAAGCTGTCTGTTCACACCGCACGCAATCCAAAAGAGGATTAAAGGGACCTATTGTGAAAGGGTTATAAAAAGGACAAACCTGGGTATAACATGCTGTGGGAGCAGTGCACTGAAAACAGCCCTGGCCTTCTGGAAACTAGGTACCTCACATGGAAAAGAGACTTCTCTTTCCCAAAGCTGATCTCTAACAGAGAAGGGCTTTTCCTTTACCATAGAGAGGACAAGAAACTACCAAATAGTAAGATCCAGTGTCCAGGTATTGTGCATCTACCTGTCCCATCATGCTCCATCTCTGCAAAGTAGTACAGTTTTCCATGGCAGCTGGAGAGGTAGATGAGGAAGGATGGATGCTCACCATTCCCGTGCAAATGCCTTGGGCTGCTTCCTGGCTAAGAATATGCTTTTGCATACAAAAGAAGCAAACGTGCTTGTGAGCAGAGTATTTAGGAGAAAGTTGTCTAAATGCCTAAACATAAAATCATGTAGGAATCTCTTGAGACCCCACAAGAGTACCAGAACTGTAGAAGAAAACTCTTAAATACATCTTGTTAAATGGCACTGGCCAACCTCAAACCTAGTTTATATTAATTCTTTCTTCACTAACTTTCAAATATATTGACCTGAAACTAATTTAAACTTCTTATTACTTAGATCATAACCATTCAGAATCTTCTTCTGCCCTGGTTCATAGTTCTCTACTTTATAGTGAATCTACTATAAATTTATATTTATGAAATCATTGACTCTCCAGTCTTATTCTGACATTACACTGATCTGATTCCATTCCATTTAAATCACATCAGCAGAAAGTGCTCTTAAATAAGTATTTAAATAAGAATTGGCATATTGCCACTTTTTTTTTTTTGTCAGGTGGCTGTTCTGGGCTTTAAAAAAGAAGACATTCAGTGTCTCCCACAAGAAGAAAAGAAAGAATCCCAATTAAAAAAAAAAAAAAAGGTGTTTTTTTTTTTTCCCATGGACTGATACTACTCTTCCAAACTTATGTCCCTCCACTTCTATTTGCCATACTGTCCTTCACCTGGAATTCATCTGTCTCTTTCTAGACAGATCACAGTTAATTTGCTTCAAGCACCCAGCCAACACTGGCTCGCTTTCTGAGCTACTGATTCTCTCAGATACTAATACCTCAATCATAAACCTTTCCTTTCTAAGACAAGATGCAAACTGAAAAAGAAAAAATCCACGAAGTATGTCCTCTTGCATAAGTATGAAATTTATTATCAACATCTATGTTCAGCTCTTTTCTTGTTTTTAAGACTTAAATAACTACTGGATTTAATGCATCCCTAGAGCAAATGGATAGCACCATTAAAAAATAACCAATAAAAAACTACTGGCACTTTTACGGCTATCACAGTTTGCTCATAGTCCATCACGCCAGTAAATTTGCACATCCGTTTAAAAGCAGAAAATTGCTTATACAACATTCCTTTTACATAGCAAAATGCAGGCTGTGCAGTCAGTTGATACAGGTACAAATCTTGATGATGCAATTCAGAATGAACTAGGACATACAAATGTAAAGTCCCCAAAATTCCAAGTTTTAGGTTTACTTAGGCACCCAAAGTTGAGCTTACTTTGTTGTCAGTGCCTCAGCTGGAATTTAACTTCCTTTGGTCCTTTCAAAGTTAAAGGAAAAAAGTATGAACCTCCAACAGAAAAATCTTATTTTCAGTGTGCTGAATATGCTAAATGTTCTCTGGAGATTTCTATTCTCTTTACTATCTTGTCAGGAGCCTATTCAGCCTAATTCAAGTGCTGAAGATTTGCTGAATTCAAATGAATCAGTCAGTTAATGGTAAAATGCATACTTTTTTATCTAATAGATATCTATCCCATGGTGTTTTTATTTTAACCACCTATTTAAACAGATCTTCATTAAAAAAATAAAAAAAAATTAAAAAAACAAAACAAAAAAACCCAAACAAACAAAAGAACCCACCTGATCCTTTTGAAAGAAGGTACAGCTTTTGGCATTGCACCAAAACATTCAAAACTAGTTGTCTGAACCAAACACTCGAATCATTATTGGTTCTTACAGTGCCAACCACCACTACCAAGGCACACACCAAAACCTTGGAGCATTCAATTCTCCAATCAAGAGTAGATATTAAAAATGAAGTATTGAAAGAAGGATAACATAAATAGACACTAGCAAGGGAGACTGGATGGTTCAGTGAATGCTGTACTAACCTATGGAACACAAGTTAAATACAGGCAAGTCACTCCTTTCTGTCTATTGGTCAGCATAAGGAAGATCAGTGATT